AGGAGTTTGACCTATTAAATTAACCAAACGACTGCACGAGTCGAACAATAAGGAACGAAACTTTTTTTCGCTCCTTTCTTCGCACTGCATAATGCCTTTTGAAATTGTTTAAAAAATCTGGACTCAGTATTGACCTCCGTTGAACCCAATGCAGCTGATTATTACTTAACCCATAGAGTTACCTATGAGAGAGGGGTGTACGGTACCTAGTACTATAGTGTACATCTATGACTTAACCCTATCCATACGCCCTGGGGTCATTTTGTACCCCCGGGGTTGTATTCTTCGCGTCATTTTTAGTACGAAGATCACTTTTAAACTTTCAGTGCCGGTGTTTCTCAAAAAATAATTTTGACAGACTGCTATGCAAAGAGTACGGATCGGATTAACAAGGAAATTTCCTCTTTGGAAATTGGTGGTACAGAGTTCCCCACGTCGTTTGGATACGTTAGTAAAACACGACTCACGGATAGGGTTAACTGAACCCTTTGTGTTTGGTCCACAGTAGAATTCTGTGGTTTGGTCAAACCTATGTAAGAACCACTGCGTTGTAGTATAAATTACTGGATACTTCAAGTAGCTAGACAATAAACTTGGAAAATCGGCCCGGTTCGACTAATAAAAGGCTTGAGGGGTCGTCTTTCCAGGAATTACAATAAAAGTTATTATTTGAAGAATTCGTGGGAGGAATGATAAGAAACACATTATATTTCAGCCTCAGGTTCCTTAAATTCGTGTTAACTGATGCAATTTTTTTATGGTATACTAAGGGAAGTTGCAATGTATAAAATAAAAATGGAAAAAAACGGGGATTTGAAATCTGTTCATGTCAGCTCTAGATTTTCTATACACGTAGACAATTAGTCTATGACATATGTTGGCTCAGTTTGCATAAGTTTTTCGGGGTAATAATTCCTGTAATAGTAATAGACCAATAAAACTGCAGTTGCATTAAAAGCCTGTGTCAAACACACACGTACACACACACACACACACACACACACACACACACACACACACACACACACACACACGCACGCACGCGCACGCGCACACACACACACACACACACACACACACACACACACACACACACACAAACATAAAACCCTGATCGGTTCTGAGAACAGGTCTATTATGTTCAAATAAATCGAGCCCAGTTCCGTTTATTTTGAATTAAAGTCACGCCTTTGAATTTTCGTTTTAATTCTCTGAACATACCCTTTTCCCGAACTCTTCTAGTGGCATGCTATAAAAAGTGGTTTTTCAGTCGGTTTAAGCTCATCTAGTCTCTACCTCCTTTGTTCTCTTTCTTCGAATTAAATGGCTGGAGGCTGGGACATATGGCTCCTATATTTTTCTTTTCTATCATTCAGTTCTGTATGGAATGGTGTGTACTGGTGCAGGGTGATTTGCGAATGTCGAGGGATGTCGGCATTTGACTATTGTCCTTGATATGTTCATCATCATCATCCGGTGCCTTGCCGACTGGCGTGGGCGATCATGGACCTCCACTTCCATCTGTCTTTCGAAGCAGCAATGGTGTCTGTTGTTCTTGCTGCTCCCAGCCGTGTTGTCATCTTGTCCAGTATCTTTTCCCTCTGTCTGCCTCTACCTCTCTTTCCGTCAAACTTTCCTGTTGTTACAATGTTCTCTAATGCTTCTTTCCGCATTGTGTGTCCGAAAAAATTTGCCTGATATGTTACTAGCGAAATAATCCTCTTCAAAAAATGACCCCCCCCCCCCCCCAAAAAAAAAGTCAGACCTCGTTATACCACCTACCACCTACCTAGGAATAAGTGTAAAATTGGTGGTACGACGGGGCTGGAGATATAACAGGATAGCACCGATTGTCATTTTGACTACTGGTAGACTGGTAAAGACTAGAGCTACTGTTTTGTCTTGCACGATTGCCATGCACATAGAAAAACAAAACCAAAATACGTAGCAACCAATTACATGTACAGCTCCAGCTAAACTATGTAAGTAAATTCAAATTGAAAGAAACTAGGCTAGCTTCTATATTATTATTATTATTATTATTATTATTATTATTATTATTATTATTATTATTATTATTATTATTATTATTATTATTATTATTATTATTATTATTATTAATGTCAAGGACTCATTAGAAGTAGGCCTACTGTTGTTGGGTGTTTTGTTTTTGTTTGTTTGTTGTTGTTGTTGTGTTTTGTTTTTGTTTTTTTCGGGGGGGGGGGGGTGTTTGTTTGTTTGTATATTTTCGTTACTCCTCAGACACCTAAGACCTGTCAAGAAGAATTGAGCGCGAGTGGGTACCGTATGCCGTGTATAGTTTGTATCTCTAACTGAAAATTCACTGGCGGTATAGCGGGGCAATTTTACACTGGTTTGATAATGGCCGTTCAACTTACACATTTATTGGTGGATGCCAGAGGGCGGTGTAAAGGCGTACATACTATATTAAGACGTTCCTTTTCTTTCATTGGCAAAAGCGTAGCAGTAAGCGGGGCTGGTGATACACTGGGACAGAGGAAGGGGGTGGGGGGGTATAAGGAAGTTTGACCTATTAAATTAACCAAACGACTGCACGAGTCGAACAATAAGGAACGAAACTTTTTTTCGCTCCTTTCTTCGCACTGCATAATGCCTTTTGAAATTGTTTAAAAAATCTGGACTCAGTATTGACCTCCGTTGAACCCAATGCAGCTGATTATTACTTAACCCATAGAGTTACCTATGAGAGAGGGGTGTACGGTACCTAGTACTATAGTGTACATCTATGACTTAACCCTATCCATACGCCCTGGGGTCATTTTGTACCCCCGGGGTTGTATTCTTCGCGTCATTTTTAGTACGAAGATCACTTTTAAACTTTCAGTGCCGGTGTTTCTCAAAAAATAATTTTGACAGACTGCTATGCAAAGAGTACGGATCGGATTAACAAGGAAATTTCCTCTTTGGAAATTGGTGGTACAGAGTTCCCCACGTCGTTTGGATACGATAGTAAAACACGACTCACGGATAGGGTTAACTGAACCCTTTGTGTTTGGTCCACAGTAGAATTCTGTGGTTTGGTCAAACCTATGTAAGAACCACTGCGTTGTAGTATAAATTACTGGATACTTCAAGTAGCTAGACAATAAACTTGGAAAATCGGCCCGGTTCGACTAATAAAAGGCTTGAGGGGTCGTCTTTCCAGGAATTACAATAAAAGTTATTATTTGAAGAATTCATGGGAGGAATGATAAGAAACACATTATATTTCAGCCTCAGGTTCCTTAAATTCGTGTTAACTGATGCAATTTTTTTATGGTATACTAAGGGAAGTTGCAATGTATAAAATAAAAATGGAAAAAAACGGGGATTTGAAATCTGTTCATGTCAGCTCTAGATTTTCTATACACGTAGACAATTAGTCTATGACATATGTTGGCTCAGTTTGCATAAGTTTTTCGGGGTAATAATTCCTGTAATAGTAATAGACCAATAAAACTGCAGTTGCATTAAAAGCCTGTGTCAAACACACACACACACACACACACA